AGCAAAAAGATGAAGCATGTGTTCTAAGATCGCCAATTGGATATATAATGGCGTGACGGAAGTGGGTTTTAGAATACTCCCATGGGCTCAAGAAATTATAGAAGTTAATGCAACATGAATGCGGTCCAACACAGAAGGGTGGGCGTAGGGAGCCAGGAGCTGTAAGGAGGGCAATAACATGCTCCTACACTTTGTTACTGAGATTTAATTAGCATATAATCTCTCATCAACTTAATTTCTCCATTTGATAGCACAATAACTTGACAATTTTATTCTGGAGCAAATTACTTAACAGAAACTGCCTTGAGAAAACATGTAGACCTAATGATTTGGATTCTTGCAGTACACTTCAACTTGGCTCTGTGTATTTAAGAATAAATAATTCTCCCCTTGAGCATCACTAACAAGGAAGTCCAAGGACTTCAAAATATATTGAAGTAGACACAAGCATGAGTGTGAATTCCTCAAGAAACAGAAGAGTACCGCAGCAAAGGAGGTTAAGACTTGAAGCAGCTGCGTGCTTTCCTACGAGCCCACACAGAGCACAGCAAGGAGCGCAGATACGATGGGGGGCCCTGAGTCGGCTAAGGGGCTGGGGCGAGCCCAGGGGCAGCTCTCCTCCCACCTGTGCCTTGCAGGCTCCCCTACACAACCTCTACTGTATGACCACCAGGAGGCCGACCACCACCAGCAACTCTGTCCAAGGTTCCAGAGCCCCCATGAGGCCCCAGTGCTACCAAACCACACACTGTCTGCAAGGATGACATTTACAGAATTTCTCTCCATACCTCCTTCTCAACATGACACGAGTCCCGTTGGGCCCCACTCGGTAGACACATGTTGGGGGAAAGGCTTCCCAGAGGTGCAGAATCATGACACAGGAGCGGAAATCCGGCCCTAGGAGCATCACCTTCCTCAGACCTGAGTGTCACAGATCAGAAACAGCTCGGGGAGAATTTAGAAACCCTGTACTGCTTATCTGAAGACCTTAGGATGTTGTCATATAAATTTTGGAAAGGCTGCTTGCTTCCCCTTTATGCTAAGAGATCATCTTTCTATATTCTGTAGAGTCCCCCACAAAACAACTAACAAAATATGTGACAATACCATTAAAAAAATGGTGACAAGGGAGGACTTTAGGGAGAAGCTGACTATAAGTTGCAAACTTTCAGAAAAGCAAGAAAGAATAAGTTTTGAGAGTTATTGCCTAGCAGAGAGATGATAGTTGAGAATAATGCATTCTATTTCTAAATAAGGAACAAATTTTCAATATCTAACAATTAAGATATGGGGATGGATATGATAATGAGCTTGAATGAAACATTTCACATTGTATGCACCTATCAAAACTCCACAATGTACCTCATAAAAATAAACAATTACGATTTGTTCAAAAGAATATTAACTAAATGTACAACTCTAGAGGTATTAATAATCTAGGTCCAATGTTAACCCAAAGACGAATTAAGACAACAATTTCTGAATTTTGAAAATCATTATTCTGCTTGGTGTATTTAAGTTATATTTTGAACAATGTCCCCAACCAATCAGTCATTTAAGTATAGAGCTAAATTCCACTGAAAATTTTTTTGGATCATAATTCAATTATTAATAGAAAATAAACAATTATTCCAGTTTCAAAGTTGTTATACTAATAAAAATGAATTTAAAATGATCACTTCAACATCCTGCTTTGACTAAGGCAATGAAACTGCGACCTGTAAAGTATTCAGCACCATTTACTCATTGCTCGTTCAGAACTTTTCTTAAAGCTTCTAGAACTTTCCTGAGCTGTGTAAGAATAGCACTCTGGGTCAGCCAGTGGGAAGTTCAGCAATCCTCAAAGGATTCCAGGTGGGTCCACAAGGCTGCTTGGACTATACACAAACCCCTCCCCTGCAGCTCAGGAGGGACACGCTCCCGAGCACTGAGGAATGACTGACAGGCTTCGCTGTCAGCACTGGTCTTCCCAACCAGTAACAGTAGGCCTCTGCCACAGACGCACGTGGTCCTTAATGTACTGTGACATTAGGAAACTCAGTAAACAGCTCGGATATTCAAACATTTAACATGTTTAATAAGGTTCATTGCTCTGGCAGAGTAAAGGTCTGCTAGTTAATCTTTTAAAATAAATGGAATATGTATAGGTGAATCAATCTTGAGCCATACCTAAAATACCGGACGATTTAAGTCAGTACTTTTTCTAACAAAATGTAAATGTCTTTAAGTAGCTTAAAAAATGAAATCTAAGTTTCTGTTGAAACTGCCACTTCGAGAACTTGTTAAAAAAAAAAAAAAAGGAAAAGAATGTGCCTTTAAAGGCCCAACCCGGCCCCCTCATTATTCTTCTCTTTGTAGTTGTCAAACTAAGACTGGGCTAGGAAACGGCACTTCCAAATAGTTCAGAAGAGTCCACAGAAGTATTGACAAGTTTTTCATACAAAAGAATGTCTGCCTTTCTGCCTCAGTTAGTAGCATTCATCAGAACATCCTAACGACACATGACGTGGCAGACACCGTGTGGACTACTGTACCAGTTTAGAGCCTCTGCTAGCTTTTCCTGCACTTGTGTTCAGCAGTGTGAGTGAGGTGGATTTTTGTGAAGGAATAGGGTGTGCCAGGACCTCTCTGGGGCATTTCTTTCTAAGTGGAACACACAACAGAGAAGGGAATAGGGAAGATAATAAAAGGAAGCTACTCTTTCCAGGTCAGAAGAAGGAGTTGACGAAGCCCACATATGCATTCAAGAAGCCCGTGGAATTCCCTAGCTCCGGACGGTGGCTAATGCGGTCGCCCAGAATCAGTGCTGCAGATCTCGGCAGCGTTTTCCTGTACAGCTCCAAAAACTCCAGATAGGGATTTATAGGAGCCAGTGACCTGCAGGTGGAGTGAATGGGATCAGAGACAGAAACAAACGTCTTCTGAACTTCTTCTTCTGGTTGATGCGCTGTAAGAGACGCTTTTGGAGCAGGAGAGGACAGCGCGTCTGCAGAAATACACCTCCATTTGACAGACTCTTCATGGGAAGCCGACTGGATGGGTTCAGGTGTGCCTGTAGGACAGCTCCTGTGACACGATACCGCCACAGTCACGAGGCAGCAAGCTGATCCGACGGCTCTGCAGCCCAGTGCTGCAAAAGTGCCGCTACGAGGCTGGCTTGCTCAAATACAGAATAATGATGGGAGCTCAGTTTGTCACTATGCCAAAGCCTGGGAAGTTGATGAAACCTCAGAGTCAGACTCTCCCAAATCTTACACCAGGCTTAGCTGGATGTTGGGAAGCCATGCAAAAGCACATCTGCAGATTTCCCACCAAGCCAGAGTCTTGGCAGAAGGTTTGCAGCCCTTTGTAGGTTTAAAAAAAAAAAAACCACAAACCTCACCAGATGACTTCCATGAGTGGAGAAAAGGGGACTGCTAAGGGGGTGAGATGTGCAAGTATGTGGCCAGCAGGGGCATGGGCAGCAGGTCCAGCTGGACCCACCACTCCCACATCCTGCAGAGGGAATCCCAGCATACTTCGGCTACATTATCCCTTGCCACCTGCCACAGTGCTGTGGTGCCCTGGGGTGCTGCAAATACGGATGCGAGGCAGGGGACTGGCAGCTGGGACACAGTCCACTGAGGTCCAACAGTAAATGCCGCTCCACAAGTGGCACTCAGGCAGCCCGCAGCACAGCAATAACCACCCGGCTGGTGCAGAGGAAGCACCAGGGCACTGAAAGTTTTTTTTTTTTTAAATAAATTTAAAAGATTATTTTGGGGTCCAGAGCAGTAACCTAGTGGTTGAAGTCCTCATCTTGTAACCGCCATGATCCCACAGGGGAGCCAGTTTGTGTTCCTGTTGTTCCATCTCCCATTCTGCTTCCTGCCCATGGCCTGGGGAAGCAGGAGAGGATGGCTCAAAGTTTTGGGACCCTGTACCTGCATGGGAGACCCAGAAGTGGCTCCTGGCTTCAGATAGGCTCAACTCTGGCTGCTGCAGCCACTTGGGGAGTGAACCAGTGGACAGAAAATCTTTGTCTCTCCTCTCTCTGTAAATCTTGACTTTTCAACAAAAGTAAATAAATCTAAAAAAAAAAATCTTGAAACAAAACTCTTTCGAAGCTTCATTAAGTCCAGTGTCAGTATACATTGGTTAATAAAATGAAAATAAGGCTACGTAAATCAAATCCTCCATATATTTTCAGTCTTTCATTTGCATTTGGTATGATGAAAATACACTTCCCTTCAGTAGGTCAGGCTTATCCCGGAGACATTATGAGAAAAAAGGGTCCAGCAGGTGGGTTTCGGCACAGAGTACAAGCTGAGCCTTATTAGAAACACTGACCGCCAGAATGTTTGTTCTTACATTCAGGGCTCTCTGGGGATCTTAGTTAAATGCAAAACAAGCAGAGCCCACTTCGTGGTGCTTAGGGTTAAGCCACTTGCAATGTCTGCTTCCCCAAATGCACAATCGTTGGAATCCCAGCTGCACCCCTGCTGATCCAGTTCCTACTAATGGACCTGGAAAAATGGAAGCAGACAGCCCGGGTGCTTGGGACTCTGCCACTCACGTGGGCGACCCGGCTGGGAATCCAGGCTCCAGGCTTTGGCTAGGCCTAGTTCAGCACCTAACCTCACAGCCATCTAGGGGAGCGAAGCAGCAGATGAAAGATCTCTCTCTTTTTCTGTATTTCCCATACACAAGTTTTCTTGAAACAACAGAAATAAGATCTTTATTCTTCCTAGATCAAAGAGACTAATCAAAATGCACAAATACTCTAATATGCAGTTCAGTGCCCCTTTATTGTCCCATTAGGACAATTTAATACTTACAGAAAAGTTGCAAAGATAGCACTGGGAGTTCCTTAAGCACCCTTTTTACTCAGCTCCCTTTCACATCTTATGTCATCTGGAATATTTGTCATACCCCAGAAAAGCAACGTGGGACAATCCTGTGAGCTGCCATGCAGACTACTCCAATTTCGTCAGGACGGCCCGAGGAGCGTGGAGGCATACCTTGTGATCGGTGTCAGCATCGCCATCCTGGTCATCGTCGCTGAGCGGGCTGGAGCTGGCCGCAAAGGTGGGTCCCTGAGAGTAGTACTGAGAGCTTCGGTACCCATCGCGCCTCAGTTTATCACATTCTGCAGTGGCACAGGTGAGGAAGGGGAGGAAGTGCATTAAAACCACAATGTGCTGGCTCCTCTATACTACCCCCTTCCTAGGCAAAGCAAGATTTCACAACAGCCCCGATGAAAATCATGATAATACCCACCCAGCCTGATGAAAGCCCCTGACACACACTGGAGCCCCTATAAACACAACTTCCAACGGATTCTCCTCCGAGCCCAGGGCAACCAGAGATGGCAGATAATATCATTGACTGCACTCAGAGGAAACTGAAGTTTAGAGCAATTAAATCAATTGCTTCATAATGTTGTGTAAGTATGCAGTGGATTGAGAACTTCCATCCAAGGCCTAATGGCTATGCTACCATTTTTTGACACCAAACAGTTAAGGTACTCCCACATGAAATGGCTCTTGCCTTGAGCTTGCTTCCTGGTTTACCAGATGGAAGAGTGCCCCAGGAGAATACAGATTTTAGTACTCTCATATTGTTAGTTCTCTGTTTAACTGTAATGTCAAACAGCCTGTGACCACGGCGTAGAATTGAACATGAAGCTGGTTGCCAGTCTGAGACATCTGCCAGTCTTAAAGGAGGTGATGGGAGATGGGGTGGGCACAATGGCCGGGTCACTGCCCAGGAGACAGCGCTTCAGCAGGGACCCTGGCTAATGATATTCTCCACCAGCATCAGGAGCTTTCCTGGTTTTTAGATCAGCATATTAAGGGAACATGTGTCTCCTGAAAGAACCACAGGGGTCCTTTAAATTTTTCTAAAGGGGTACAAAGTGTGTCCGGCTTTAAAAAGTGGGCTCCTGGCATAGCTCTCCAGCAGCACAAGCCTGAAGGCTCAGAACTTAACAAGGGCAGCCCAATGGGAAGGTCAAGGCTCCTTGTCAGAGACAGGTGAGAGGGACAAAAACATGAGCTTAATTTAAAATAAATCAAGGAATTAACAAAAAAATCCTTTCTCTCACAGTGGGAGTGGAGAAAGTTTCTGGTTTGGAAATACGGAAATGAGATTTCACAAAGTCCCATGAAATAGTCACAGTGCCTTATTAGGTTTCCAGGTTTGGGTCCCATGTTGTAGTCTAATGAGTTGAGTAACCGCCTGGGATGCCTGCACCCCTTAAGGGCACTGGCTGGAGTCCTGGTTGCTATACTTCCTTCCAATCCAGCTCCTTGTCATACACCTGGGAAGATAGTGAAAAATGGCAAGTGTTTGGGCCTCTGCGCCCACATAGGAGACCCATGTGCAGGTTTAGCTTTTCAGCTTGGGCCTGGTCCAATCTTGGCCATTACAACCATTTGGGAAGTGACTAGCAGTTGGAATTTTCTGTCTTCTCTATATATGTAACTCTGCTGTTGAAGCAAATAAAAAAATTCTTCAAAAAATAAAAAAAAAATAGCAGGCTAACAAAAACATGCACATATCATCATATTACAGGTAAGTAGTACTACTTGAAATAGTCATGTGTTACATAATTAGCATAACATTGATTTAACTGGAAATTTTAGAAAAGCTATTGAAATTTTTAACAGCAGATGTTCAGTGAGGCTGCACTCTCACTATCATTTATAATGAAGAATATTTTCTTTTTTTTATTCATTTAACAACTTCTCCAAGATAAACAATCAGTACAATCAGGGTAGTTTGGATGAGTGGTTTTCAAACGGGGCTCACTGCAGTCTTCTGACATTCTGTAAACTTGAGTCCTGATTTCCCTTAAAGGACACTTAAAGCTAGGCTAGAAAGTTAACAGTCAAGGTCAACAACTTACACACCAAGTTTTAATGTGATAAAAGGATTCATTTGTCCATTTGCATGGCTAAGTGAACTTTCCTGTGTTTCTGGAAACAAACCTATCTCAACAAAACTGACGTTTTCTAAGAAACTAATATAAACTGCCAGTTCTTGTGGCCACTAGTATAATCCAGGGTTTTCAAACACTTGACAGATATATAAGAGAGAGAGAGAGAAAAGAGAAAGACACACCCAAGATGGACACCAAGTCCCTTTGAAATAAAGTCCTTATTATTAAAAAGAAAATCACTTTTTTGCTCTGCTTAAAAATCTTATCAGTTTAAAATTTAAAATATTCATGCTACAGCAATATTCCAATGAAAAGTCTGTTAGACACCAGCCAGGCAAGACTATCACTGAAGAAGAGAATTACTCTACCAGAAAATGAGAGAGGGCTAGGCCACACCACTTCTAAAATCTATTAATCCCAAATTTCTAATATTAAATCCTAATATTAAAAACAGCCCATATGACATGATACATGTCAAATATCAAAACACAAAAATATTGCTAAAATTGTTTTCCAAAGTCTGAAGAACTGGCAATTACTAGTACTATACATTACAATGTAGGTCAGTTTTTAAATTCAGTTTAAAAGACAATGTCTTGTTTCTTCTATGATTCTGAAGTCACAGAAACGTTCCAAAACCAAACAAAATACGACCCTGAATTTCATGGCAGAGATAAAATTACTATACTATTTAAATTGTCGACATCTACGAAACTCATCAAGTTCCACTGTAATTATTGCAACTCTGGGGAAATTTAAGTTGTAAGAGATCTCTGTTTCCAAAATCGTGGCCTTCATTAGAAGTAGACTTAATCCCCCATGGAGCGAGACCTAGGTCAGGGCAAGCCATTCCAACTCCACATCCATGCAAGAGCCACTTTCGGGCAGATGCCAGAAATTATACGCTAGAAAGGAGACACAGATCTCACAGATCTGTCTTGAATACACACTCTTCTTACTACAGAAATTTAAGGTAAAACTGTGCTATTGTTCTCTGGTGTTGTGTGCTTGGATAAAGGTATCAATGTTCACTGTGTCCTACGGTTTCTCAAGCATAAATTTCTTCCTGTTTCTTTTCATGTCAAACCATTTTCCTGGACACAGGACCATGAACAAACCATTTTTTTCTTTTTTTTTGGTAGACTAGAGTTTAAATATGGAAGAAAAAAACTTATGTCACAGAACAAGGTTACCTGACCACCTAATGAATTTCAGACTGCTTTGGTCTCCAATAGCATTAAGCTATTGTTTTGATATCCAATTTTTAATATTTTAGGCATGTAACCAAGACACTCTACTAAAGAAGCTTTAAAGAATGCTTTTCAATTTGCTCTACTGGAGATCCTTGTCAAATTGCCCATTTTGTAAATGATTCCTCAATTTACAAAATGACAATGAACAATTATGCAGCAGTTACAGCAGTTTCAAAATATCAGTATCTAATAGGACTAGAAGTTTCCTTTGTGCACTCCCCTTGTCCATTCAGAGGTGTCAGGAGCTTTACTCCTAGCTGTCTCATGGGGACCAGGTGGATCAAAGTCCCACCTGCAACTTACGTTGTAAGATCTCAAAGCAGTATAAGAACTGGCTACATCTTACACTGGCTCTTAGAACTTTCACCCAGAAGTTACAAGGCTTATGGCTGGTCCAGTTTCATTGGACAAAACAAGCCACAGCTAAACCTATCTTCAAAGGAGACTGCTAGCCTACTCATGCATCAGGAGGAAAGAAAAAGAAAATTCCAGAATAGTTCTAGTGACTCTCAAGGAGGTGACACTAAACCTAGAAATTTCCAGCCATGGGGGAGAAAACCAGCAAATGGATGATCTCTCTGTCTTCCATTCCCCATCTCTCTGTAACATGGACTCTCAAACAAACTAAATATTCAAAAATCTTTTCATTAGTATGCATTTTCCATGAACTTTTTGATATTAGTAGAGACAGTATTATTTTACAGTGTTAAAGACAACTCTTTGAATCCTTCCTCTGAAAATTATTTTTTATAAATTCTCATATTTTTTTTAATCTGGGAGGCTCGGAAGAATCTCTTGGCTCTGGGCTTTGGCTTGGCTCAGCCTTGGTTACTGCACCATTTAAAGAATGAACCAGTGGATGAATGAGTTTCATTTGTGTGTATGTATGTGTGCGTGTATCCTTCTCTTTCTAACTCTACCTTTCAAATAAATAAATAAATCTTAAAGTATTAAAAAAATTCTACCCCAATTTTGAAGCTGACCTAAAATTTTTGCTTTTTAAAAATTTGTTTCAGAGCTGGCCCTGTGGGTTAAGCCACTGTCAGCAAAGCTGGCTCCCCACATGGGCACCAGTTTGAGTCCCAGCTGTCCCACTTCCCATCCGGCTCCCTGCCTGTGACTTGGAAAAGCAGCAGACAGGGGCTCCAGTGCTTGGGTCCCTGCACCCACATGGGAGACCCAGAAGAAGCTCCTGGTTCCTGACTCCAGTTTGGCCCAGTCCCAGGTCAGTAAGGTCATTTTAGAAGTGAACCATTGGGTGGAAGATCTTTCTCACTGTCTCTCCTCCTCTTTCTCTGTAATTCTGCCTTTCAAATAAAAATTTTTTTTAAAATGGGTGGTTTAAAAAAAAACCCACACAGTATCTGCTAATTTGTTATAATCTGTGTGAACAAGAACAAAGGAATGATGAAAGACATAGTTGAAGCAAGATTGCTACATTAAAAGCCACAAGGACACATTAAGTGGGCTATACTGTCATTTGTCTGGTCATTTGAGTATTAGCATACATGAGGAAAGTTTTCCTAGGAAAGTTTTGAAATATCAGGTCAAAAGCATTAGTTCACTATTTTGTAGCAGCAGAATATTCTAGACATGCCATATTTTAAAATGGGAACATGGTTTATTTTTAGCAATATTAAATCTTTCCTAATCCTCCCACTATAACTCAAGGTCAATGAACACTGGGAAGGTTCCCAGCTCCAAAGTTCATTACGGGAAAAAAAAAAAAAACGGTCATGATTTGCTGTTTCTGAAAAGAACCCAAGTCTAAAAATCCTTTTTTTTTTCAGATCACTGATTTTTAAGGCCTATAATACTGACACTTGCTGAAATGTAAAGCCCTTTGCCATCAGTATTTGATTTATGTTTAAAATAATTCTGCAGGAACTGAGATAAAGCAGCTCTTATATCTGTCTTATGGATTATGAAACACAGGTGTAAAGTTTCTGGTGG